GATTTAATATATGACCAAGAAATGTATGAAATGATAGAAGCAGGACTTAGAGGCGGGATGTGTATGGTTTCTACTAAAAAAGTTGAAGCAAATAATAAATACATGGGAGAAGAATATGATAAAAATAAAGAAAGTAGTTATATTAACTATTTTGATGCTAATAATTTGTACGGGTTAAGCATGATACAAAAACTGCCATATAAAAATCTAAAATGGGATGATACATTAAAAGAAGAAGACATTATTAATTATAAGAATAATAATATTGGATATATTCTAGAAGTGGACTTAGAATATCCTAAAGAATTACACGATTTACACAATGACTATCCGATGGCACCTGAGGTTATGAATGTTAAAGCCGACATGCTGTCAGATAAACAAATTGAAATTTTATGAATTTTTAAATCATAAAAAACCTACGGATGAGAAAACAAATAAATTAATATTGAACTTAAATGATAAAGAAAAATATGTAATCCATATAAGAACCTTACAATTTTATTTGAAGCAAGGGTTAAAACTTAAGAAAATTCATAGAGCAATTAAATTTGAACAAAAAGAAGTTTTAAAACCTTACATTGAGTTTAACACTGAGAAGAGGAAGAATGCTAGAAATGATTTTGAGAAAGATGTTTACAAATTGATGAACAATGCCATATTTGGAAAAACAATGGAGGATAAGCGAAAACATTTAGATTTTGAGGTTGTGAGTGATGAAACTAGATATATGAAGTGTGTAAGTAATCCTAACTTCAAACATAGTCATATCATTAATGAAAATTTGGTTGGAGTTGAAAAGCAAAAAACAAAGTTGAAACTAGACAAACCTATATTTATTGGGATGAGTATTTTAGATTTGAGTAAGCAACACATGTATAAATTTTATTATGACGTTATGAAGCCTAAATATGGAGATAATATTAAAATGGTATATACTGATACTGATAGTTTTGTATTTCATACTAAAACCAATGACATTTATGAAGACCTTAATACAATTAAAAAAGAATTAGATTTTTCAGATTATCCTAAGGAACATAAATGTTATGATGATAATAACAAGAAAGTATTAGGTAAATTTAAGGATGAATTAAAAAGTAAAATACTAACAGGGTTTATAGCCCTTCGTCCTAAATGCTATGCTTACTCAGTTTATGGTGATGATAAAAAATATAAGAAATGTAAGGGCATAGCAAAAGGCACAGTAAGACGTCAAATGAAATATGAAGAGTTTGAGACGGTTTTAAAAACTAATGAGGTTATACATAAGTCATTTAATAGTATTAGAAGTAAAAACCACAGAATTTTTAGTATAACAACTAAAAAAATTGCTCTTAGTAGTTATGAAAACAAAAAATATTGGATAGATAGTGTAAACTCACTTGCTTACGGCCATTATAAAATAAATTCTTTGAAAACGACTTAAAGAAATATTGACTTAATATATTAAGAGGAAAAATGACACTGTTTAATTATAGTAAGTGTGAATGTTGTAATAATAAAAAGAATGATATTAATTTTACATTGTATAACTTATTACCTGCTAATCTGTGTAATAAAATAAGTGAATATGATGTATATTGTAATCAATGCTGTATAACAAGAGACCTTGAAAAGTTGTTTGTTGAAGAATATAAGGATAAGGGATATACAAAGTTTCAATTAAAATTGAAATTCTTTATGAAATATCAAAAACGATTTCCTGTATATTTTTGTCATAAAATTGATAGAGAGTCATTTGAAAAAGAACTTGATGAGTTTTTTAATAATAAAGATTTGATTAAAAGGTTTGGAGGAGAACTAAGCATTAAACCGTATAAATCATTTGCTAAAGAATTTCGTGATTTGTTTGAAGAGATTGATTGGCATTTATTAAGCAAAGATAAAATAAACAAGGTCTTGAATGAATTTAGAATAACTAAATATCATGTATGGTATTACTACAACACTAAATATAAAGTATGTCTATTGCTGTATTTATTCTTTTGGGAATATATTTATTCAATAATAGGAAAAGACAATATCAAATATATAGACATTGGTGATATTGATAAATATGTAGATTACATATTTGAAGACATATTGCCTGACTGTTATCTTAAATCCTTAATTCTTAATTGAAATATAATTATAACATGTAAAATATTATATGCTATAATTATACTATACTTATGGTTAGTTTCTTAATTTTTATTAATGCCTTAAAAATGACTTAAAGAAATATTGACTTAATATATTAAGATAGAAATGAACGGTGATAAAATCAATAATTATATCAATAAAACATGCTATGATTGTTGTCACTTCAAAAAAGAAAATATGGAATTGTATAAATTAAATTTACCTAATGGAATAATAAATAATATTATTGATTCTTCAATGGATGAAGAATATGTATGTGAAAATTGTAAAACCTGGAGAGATAACCAAGCTATAATCAAATGTTTGTTGAGATTAAAAGGAAGACATAATAGAAATGTAGAAGATGACATTTTGATATTTTTAACTGTGTATAAATTACCACCTTACGTTTATGTTAAACAGTTTCTTAAAATCAGTAAGAAAAAATATGAAATGATTTATGATATATTAAGGATGTTGTGTCATAGTCAAAAGAAAGGAGAAGATATTAAAGAATATATCAAATTTTATATTGAAATTTATAAAAAGTTTAATGTTAAAAATACATTGAGAGATATTAATATTATTTTTAAAATGATGTATGAAATAAATGAGATTTGTCAATTAAATTATTATCCTGTACTGAAATTATAATAATACTATAATTATCACATGTAAAATATTATATGTTATAATTGTAATATATTTATCGTTTGTACAGATTGAAATGTTATATTTTCCTAATTTGCTTTCGTGCTTTGGCTGTTTGGTTTTGAGTTGGTATTGGTAATTACGGGTTTTACTGGTAAAATGTATAAAGAATTATTAGTAATATATATTATCATGGATTCGCGCGATTATCTTTGGAGAATAAATACTAGAATACCTGAAAAGGAATTGGAAGAATGTAAATACGATTATCAATGCACTAGGTGCTTGTCTTGGAAAAAGGTTAATGACTTTGGAGTTAGAAGCACTGGTCGCATATATAGATATTGTATTAGGTGTAGGGAAGTTGTGGATAAAGCGAGAAGGAAAAGAATTGAGAAAAAGGACAAACAACAACTATGTAATGAAGAAGATGATAAACCAGTTGAAGAATAAGGTTGAAACAAATATTATTAAAGGTGGAAATGTGTTTTAGTCATATTTTTAAGTCTGAGTGAAAAATTCGTGAACAATGAATAAGGTAAAAAGAAAAAATGAAGAACAACTAGAGTTTCTGAGAATTGGAAAAAGACTTAAAATATAAAATGAATAAGGGTAAACAAATAGTAAAATGAAATAGGTTAAGTAGTGAAAAAATAATGGATAAGGTGTGTATCTTTTCTAGGAATTACTTAGAATGAATAAGGTTGTGATTTATTAACCTTATCTATTATTTGATACTTGGTTTTTCAATGTGTTTTTCATTGGTTGATAGAAAAAATACAGAAAGGATTTTCAGTTCCTTCAAATCCCCTTTCTGTATTTTTGGGGGGGGGGGGGTGGGGTGGTGTGGGGTGGGGTTGGGGTGGGGTGGGGTGGTGGGGTGGGGGGGGTGGGGTGGGGTGGGGTGGGGGTGTGGTGTGGGTGGGGTGTGGGGTGGGGTGGGGTGGGTGGGGTGGGGTGGGGTGGGGTGGGGTGGGGTGGGGTGGGGTGGGGTGGGGGTGGGGTGGGGTGGGGTGGGGTGGGGTGGGGTGGGGTGGGGTGGGGTGGGGTGGGGTGGGGTGGGGTGGGGTGGGGTGGGGTGGGGTGGGGTGGGGTGGGTGGGAGGGGGCTGCGTGGGGGGTTTACCACAAACAGAGCTCGGGGCTAAGCAAATACCCTTACGACATGGCATTTGACAAAGTGTAGTTTTCTACGCACCCGCTACGTTTGTGGAAGGGTGAGTATAATTTGGCTGTTGGGGCGCCACTAGACTAAATGGAGCCATGACCGTGGGGAAATGAATATGAGTAAAGCACAGCTTTTGATACCCCAGTTTCCCAGTTTCCCAGTGACCCCAGAAGAAGCAGCGAAGCCTTTTCGCAAACATCCTGTTCGACTCCCCTTTCAAGAGGACTAGGGTCTGGATCAACTAATCCAACTTTGCCCAACGCCTCCTGGGGTCCACCATGTTTAGTCAGGTGCCAAGCAAGGAAATTCAGAGGGACCAGTCATCCACTGAAGCTTATCATACTGATGGACTAGTCCACCGAATCGGTGGATTGCGAGGAGCGCTGCTCGCCAAAGTGATCCGCGACACCCCTGTACTACTCAGCTTCAGGCATACCTCTCAAGCGTAGACTTGAACTTGCTTGCCAAGCATGTGTCCAAACAAGTAGTCTAAAAAGGGGGCTGTACTCACTAAAGGGGCTATACTCGCCTCGTCAGTGAATTGGTCGGAACAAACGAGGGGCGCAAGGATTCAATGGAGACACCCTTGAAATTTTAACCAAGTGATAGTTGAACCGCACCCAACATGGCCACTGGAAGACATTTAAAAAAGGAGTCCCTTGGTTGAAATAATCTCCGATTGCGGGCCGAAGGACGTCTCATAGAAAGGCCTGAGGACACCACTGGGGTGTCGTGAACGTCGTAACCCCAAATGGGTGCGTTAATGACCTTCCGGGTGTTGAGAATGAACTGGAAGGGGATTCCCTTAATTACAGGAAGCCACAAGGGATGGTTCATGGGACGCATTTTTTTGCAAAGAACCAGCTAGCCGACGAGGGACACCGACTTCAGCCCCGATTCAAATCTTGGCTGGAATTAGGACCCCAGCAAAAAAAATATATGTTTTGCCTGGTTGTCGCAAACTAAGGGAACCCCAAGAAAAGCAAAAAACAAAAAGGGGACTGGGAACTAATTCTGGGGAAGGAATGGGGTCGAAGGCGTTCGACGCATTCGAAGGCCTTGCCCTTGAGATCCACCGCCAATTTGTCCGCCACCTTCTGAGAGCCCGTGAAGAGAGTCATCCGGGCATTCCCGCCTTAAAGAATCTCAGTTGTGCGGTGACCCCGGAAGAAAAGGGATCCAACTTTTTGGGGAAGACCAGACCTTTCTTTTTTTTTTTAAGTGCCACTGAAAAACTGAGGAATGAGAGACAACTTGCGGCTGGGTTTTCAGCCCGAACTCACTTGCGGAAAGTGCCCAGAAGAAAAAGAAGAAAAAAAAGACTGGACTCTGCTACCACTACTCCAGCAAATGTGTTTGTTCAAAGAGGTTTGAAGTCCAGCGGGGGAAGCAAGCCTTCCGTTTGTTTCAAGCATCATTCTTTTCAACAACCAGCCCCTTTTCCACTGAATGACTGATGTTCTGGAAACAAAAAGGAAGTTCCCCTCGTCAAAACACCGTGAGCATCGAACAATCATAGCCCGAGTCAAAGGATGGCGAATCCAACCTCAGGCTGTGGAATGAGCTTTCGGCGTCTGGGGTTACACCGTTCCAACTCCTTTCACCTCCCAGAAAAATAGCAACAAGTCTCTGAGTTTAAGAGCTCCTTATGAAGGGTCCAAAGCCGTGCAGGTCCACCCCCAGACCAGCAGCTGTATAAGTTGCCCTCTCATGCGTCACACGTTGCTGTCTCTCACCAAGCGCTTTTGCGACCAGTTTTGTTGCCCTCGGATCAGTGAGCCTTAACAATTGTTCACCCCAGGAACTCGGAATAAAGCAAGCGCAAGCCCAAATCAGGGACAGCTCATGAAGGCGCTCGAAGATTCCGGCTGCGAAAAAAAGGATATCTGTCCAGGGCGCTCAGCAAAATCTCATTGAACACAGGGCCGTCGCAGTAAATGAAGTCCACCTGAAGGCAAGTCTTCCAGTTGGTTAAGACCCCTGGAAACAATAAACAAAATATATCCAGTAGTGATAAATTTCCTTTAAAACCAACAAGGGTTGAACAACAATAGTAATAAACAAATGCAAATGGAAGAAGCTCTCTCTCTCTCTCTCTTTTCCAGGGCCCATTCTTTTGGACAAAACGTCTGCTTATGTTCCGGTTTTGCGAGCAACCCTCTGGCACTTTAATTTTTGTTTGGAGGGGGGGAGGGGGGGCAACTGATTCTGAGACATACCCGCTTTGAGGAGGGTGGCTCCCCCCCCCCAACCGCCCCAACCTCCGCCCACCCCGCATCCAAGGCACATCGGTTTTGGGCATGCCACAGGCATGCAGCATCCGCAGGAACTGCTCCATGACAATGGCCACCTTTACGTCCACCTTCCTGGGATATGGGAAAAAATGGAAAACTTGGTTGTTTTCTGCGAAGCCCTGCTAAAAGTGAATAACTTTTAGTGGTTTAGTGGAAAACCCATTAGTTGTTCAATGAAAAAAGGAAGACCATCTTGGTTGCTGCAAGGACCCCCCTGCAAAAAATTCAACCTTTTGGGGGTTTTGGTGGGAAAACTCTTGCTTAAGAATATGCTTTTCGCCTGGTTCTAAAGGGAGGGCATATGTTCTCATATTTCTAGGGGTACCTTCCAACCATTCTTTCCAGGGATCCGAATCTTTTCAGGAAGCCATGAAAAACCCACGGGAAACAGATCCGGTTGAAAAGAACGGAAAAGGAATCAACCCCTAGAAAGAAGGGCACAAACCATCACAAACCCACGGCATTGCCGAGTTTCCCGAGAACTACTGATCGTGACTGAATTTGGCGCTATGGTACGGGTGAACAACCGCCCTTTCATGGCAACTATGCGCGTGTCTTTGTGTTGAGGGTACGGGCTTTCACAGGGAACTCCCCGCCCTTTGAGACCAGAAAGTCACAAAATCTGGGTGGGTCCTTTTGTTACCACTTTTGGGGGGTCGGTGTGTTTGTTGTGGGGGGGGACACCGAAGGTCTTTGGAGCCACACCCAGCGCCCCTCTGGTCACCAAGCTGCGTGGTGCATTGGTTGCCCATAAATACCTCGGCCGATCTGAGTACCGGATGACGCGATCTGAATAGCTTTACTCAGTTGCAACCGGTTCCTCCATGTGCTTAAGTCCCCTGGAAAAACAAAAATATGTTCAGTAGTGAAATCGATTCCCTTTAATACAACAGGGGAAAATAACAAATGTTCTTAACCAAATGGAAGCAGTTTGGAGCCAGTGGTTAAACTTCTGATGACTAGAAAATGGGCCCACAAGGGAAAACCAAAAGGGCAAAAGGTCGGCTTTGGGCAAGTGAGTTGAAACTGCCCCCCCCCCAAACAAAAAAAACACAAGCAGGAGAAGAAGAAGGCACGCTTCTGTACATTGACCCTCCGCGAGATTCTTCGATGTTGGGACATGACTCTTATTTGCTTCACGACTTCCCGCGTCGACCCATGAGTTATAATTTTCTAGGGACCCAGGAAACATATTTGGGGGACAAACACATGTGATTAATCTATCCTTTTGTAAGCAAGGGGGGCCGGGGTTTCGACCCCTGCTTTGTGACCTCTATTCTACCTCTCGGATCCTGGGTGGAACAAAACTGTCAGGCGCCATAGTGGGAGAGCGGGTACCCCCCTTATATGATACTCAAGTAGGGCATCAATGGCCACCTCACTTGAAAGGATGCCTGGGTAACACGCAACGTGGGAACCTGAACCCCAGCTTTCCACTGGCATGGTTGATTCTGAGCAAAAGGGGGCACCCACTGGGTGTAACAAACGATCTGCGAAAGGCTAGGGATGCAAGGATCCTCCAGGTGGCCAGTCACTGTCCGGGCATTTTTTTTTAGAATGAAACTGGAAATAAGGAATCCCGCTGATAAGGAGCCATCATCCTCGCGCAAGCTCGCGCAAAGCCGTCCCAAAGTGGACCTGTGAGTTGGGAGCCACTCCCTTCCAACTCGCGCGAGATAAACAGCGCCAAAGCGCGGCCGAGAGCGTCTGCAAGCTGCAAATCTCCAAGGGGAAGTTGAAGGGGGTGATGACCTTAGAGCGATTCCGACATTCCCTCACTTGCCCTCACTTGCCCTCAGATGACCCACATAGAAAAGTTGATCATCTTGTGGAACCCCAAAATTCGCACCAACACGAGGAAACCAAACGGTCAAAGGTTTCGGACAAGTGACAGCTTCATTGAAAGCTGGGGGCTCTTCAGTCCAAGTCCTCAGTGATTGAAACTCCTTGAAACAATCCCAGTCGAAGTCTCCCTGAAGACGAAGAAAAGCCAAACAAACACAAATCTCGACATGGCATATCTTTTTGGGTGGCTAAGACACAGAAAAGCACAACAACAAAAAAGGGCTTTGTGCTTTTAGGGTGGCTGGCCAAGCAACCCTGAACCGTGGCAAGCCTCGATCGGATCAACGACTCTCGCGTAACTGGGCCTGAGGTCCGCACACTGACGCCGCCGAACCTCAAGCCAAAGGTACTTCCAACTGCAGTGGCTCAGTCGTTCAGTGACCCTGGGGAAAAAAGGGCACCCGTTTTGAGGAAGACCATTTTTAGTGGGTCTTCCACCAAACAAAAAGCCACTGAACGACTGAGGTGGTTGCACTGGCTGGTGTTTGTGTTGAAGGAACTGTGGATGCACAAGCTGAAGCCGTGGACCTGCAGTTGGGATGGATGAAACTCTAAAACGGAGATAAGCCACTTACCAACTGGTGCGAAATGGATTGTGTCCAAAGTAGCGCAAGCTTGCAAGGCCCATGTACCATAGGCGGAAGCCAAACCCAGGAAAACATACGGGCAGTGTCTTTTCAGGCCGGAATGCAGCCTCCTTCACAGGTGAGCTGGAGCAAAAAGCTATCGAGCCCTTGTCAATAGTTCGGGGCTCGTGTACCCTTCAAACGCGACCAAAAACCGAACGTGACACTGGAATGTGATCTTTGAAGGGTCCCAATGAAGCGGGCGGGCGGGGGTCGAGATTCTGCGCCCAACTCCGGGAAAAAGAGTTGATAAACTCTCTCAAAGGAAAGCCGTCTTTCGAAACCATCCCTTCAGGTTCCATGGCAACAAGGGAGAGATTGCACCAGAATGGTAGCCGCATGGAACCTGTTTATTTCACATTTTTTACAGGGTGACAAACAGGATGCATGCAAAAACCACCTTCTCTACGAGAACAGCCTTTAAGTCAGCTGGTAGTTGAGACGTTTTGGCTGACCCAAATGGTTGAGGTGCCACTGGACAGCCCGACCTCCTTGTGGCTTCCCTTTACACGGGAGGCTTTGGCGGTTTTAGCCAAATCTTGGCCCAAAAAACCAGGCGACCGCCACCATGCGCCGCGGCGCGGCATCCTATAGCCCACGGTGTTCTGGCCCAAGTGGTCCCCCGGAAGCCCGGTGGACTCCGCCAGCATCCCTCACTGGGCACGCGCTGTCGGATTCCTCTTGGGATGGATCCACACGGAACCCAAACTTGGCAAGAACAGCTTTGTTTTGTAGGTCCATCAAAGATTGCCATTTCCTACCGTCGCTTGGCACCCACACTCGGCACCCCCCACGTGCGAACACGCTCGGATCGGGTTCGGATGAGCTCGTCACAATGTGTCCATTGTTTGAGCAACCCCTAGTTCACATTACCTTTCGGGTCTGCAGCCATTCTAGACCCCCATACATATATATATATATATATGTCATGAGTACACCTTCTCAACCCTTGTCTGCGGTCAAACAATTGCCCTTTCTTTGGCCTCACCAAAAACTGAAACAAGCTCAAACACAAACAAGCTCAAACACATAAGAACAGTGAAGCAGAGCCTAATTAATCTAAGCCTCTGGGCAACTACTATGACTCACAGCTTCAGGGGTGAGCTCATGGTACCACCCAGGGTGAATTCATTTGTGCAGAAGCCTTGGAACACCCGCACAGGGCGAAGACAAATGCCCGAACCTGCTCCACGGGTTCCAATACACGGGTTCCGATCGCTTGAGCCAAATTGGAAGATCATGTGTCAATCATCTGAAACCAAAGGGTGTTTCTTTTTTAAGGGCATCCGTTTGGGAGTTGATTTAAAGGCGTTTAAAGGCCAAAAGGAAACTGCAACTTGTTTCTTTGTCTTCTGTTTTTTTTTTTTTTTGGGGGGGGGGGCGAGGGATTAAGGTCCGCAAAGTGGCCGCATTTCATCACAGGATGTGGCAGGGTGTGAAATTGTAGCCGTGACCAACCTGCAAAAAGACAAACAAAACGAACAGGAAGCAACCTTTACGGGACCCGTGCAAATCCCGGCGTAGGTCGCTGAAGCAAATACAGATGTGTGGCCGAAAACACATGTAGATGTGTGCAGGTGAAAAACGCAACCCTGAGCTCCAGTCAATGGTCATGGGGAACCAGGGGCACCCCCTTTTTGGCACGTGACTTGAAGAGAGAAACCCATCCAAGAAAAAAAAAAAAACTAGAGGGAAAGAGAACAGTACCTTTCCAAAACGCTTTGGTCTTCCAATGGCCTTAAAGCCTCCCTCTTGAACCGAGAGCCTCCAGTTCCGGGGGGGGGGGACGGACCTGGGGGGGAGGTGCCTTTTTTTCGCGCGTTCAGCAAAAGAACTGATACTGCTTGGACCATTCAATCAAGGAAATCCAAGAACAGGTGATGTTTCAAATTTCCTCAAGCAAATCAATTACCGGATTCTCTTCGTATCGCACAAGTGGCCTTGCACATCGACCCAAAAAAACCGGTTGCTACAATCTGAGCTCGGGATATAACACATTCATGGTATGCGCATGTGCATGCATGTGCCAAGATAAGGATTGATTGGCACCCCGAAACTGGATTTCAGCCGTTCTGCTCAACATCAGCATAATGCAGCATAACTATTTGAGAACTCCAAGACCCAAAATAAGAAATGGATTTTCAGGTAGAGGACCTGTTGGCTTTCGTTCCTTTTTCCCCCTTTTAGGATGAGGAATCGCTCCCTAAAAGAAGAGGCACACACTAGTCCAGGAAGCAGCTGGGCGTCACGACCTTGATAGTACACCCGGGCAACAAATCCCCAAGCGAATCCAAACCACCAAATCAGCCTCCCTCCAATTGGTGGTGTGGTGATTCAGGTGTTTCCCATCCAGCCTCTACAAAAGCCAGGGCTTCAAATCCCCAACCAGGCTCCAAACCACCAACCTGACCGGTTGACCAAAAGGGCCTGAAAAACCACCAACCTGACGAAAAGGCCTGCCCGGGGGGGGGGGGGGGGGAAGAAACAACAGAAGAAACAAACAAAAATGAAAAAAGAGGAAACACAAAACAAGAAGAAAAAACAGAACAAAACAAAAAACACGAGCCTGACACCAAACAAAACAAGTCCCCAAACACCGAACCAACCAACAGCGCTGCGAAGCGGCGCACGTTGTTGCCGCTGTAGTCCTGCAGCCAGGTCCTCACAGCCTGCGATTGGAGCCATGGGGCCAGGGAGTGAGACATGGAATGACCCCGAGAACAACAATCCAACAACGGGGCTTTCCTAGAGAATCCCCAACAATTGGGTCATTCCACCACCCGGAAGGGTATTGCCAACTGAGCAACAGCAAGAAAAACTATATGTGTGCCTGGACCCTCAAAGCACCCTTACACAAGGGGTCATGGCCAAACTTATGGGGGTAGTTATCCATTCTTTGAGGGTGGTTCGAGGCTCCAGCCCCAACCACCCGACCACCGAGCCACAGACCCCCGCCCCCCAAACCCACAAAGCCATTGCCCAGCCAGCCCACCGCCACCGTCACCGATTCGCCGTCTGCGTCGCCCGAAACGCGTCACTCGAAACGCTCGCCTTGATCTCGCCCCCCGCTTGGCTGTAGCTCTTGGGGGCTACTCTCTGAATCAGTCGGCAGAAGAAGTCCGAGACCTGCGCAAGGGACCTACGAGTCCCAGTTTTCATGGGGATTTTGGGGCGCACACCTCGAAACCTGGTATCTTAAGCTTGATTTTAAAGGACTGTCAAAAAGAAAGGAAAAGGGACAACAGGGGAAGGAAAGCGACAGTCTTTTTAGGGGTTCCCCTAATTTGGCACATACCTGCTTTGCCAACAATTCTGCTTAGTTTGGACTCTGTTGCCCTGCTTACCTCCCAATAAAAGAACCTGTTTCTGGAGAGAAAACAAAACAACAAAAAAAACCGCAGAAAAGGTGATTCCGCGCCTTGGATGCATTTTCTCAATTAGAAGGGGACTCCCACGCAAGTGATCATCGCCTTCCCGCATCGCCTTTTGGGCCAACGGTCTCAGCCAGGAATGGCCAGCTCCCTCAGGAGTAAAGAGAACCAACGGAAGCACAGCACCGGCCTGAAGGGTCTGGAATGCGGCTTATCTTTTTTGGGCAGCTTGACTCAGCACGCACTTGCCTCAGGGGTGAGCGGTTTATCTATTGGCAACTTGACTCAGAGCCCGTCAGATCGTTCCATACGAATAGCTGCAAACAGTTCCACCTTTGGCCCGTGCCTCAGGCTTGAACATCTCTCGTGCTGCTGCGCCGCAAACCTCTCCAAGCATCACATACCTGCACATGTCGACCAAAAACCCGGATGGCCGATGGTGGCCGCGCACTCAGGAACATGCACCATTGACCCTTGGCTGTACCAAAGCTAATATGGTCCTGCCAGTCAGCTATGAAAGCTGGGGCCTCGCCATGTTTTAAATCAAATTGGAACTCCCCCCCCCCCCCCTTCCCATTGTGGGCGACGCGTCAGCGCGTGTGTCAGACAAATCGAAGGTATGCGTGAAAGTAGGGATTTGGCCCCCCACAAAAGTAACTGTCCCCTTGGATGCCCCCCAGTAAGGATACTCTCGAAACAAACAACATAGATAGGGGCCAAACAGGGGGGGTCGCCAGATTGAGTAGTCACCAGCTTGCTTACGCGAACCCTCTGCGAACCCCAGCTGGGTTAGCCGAACTTAGCCGAACCTAGGGGGGGTTAGTGGAGGGTTAGTGGGGTGTCCCGCGCGTAGCCAGCAGGCACCAAAGCAATGCGATCCTTTTTGCGTCAAACCAGGCAGCCATCGTCTTTCAGTGGCTCACTAGAATCGGGGCCTGTCGACACACGATGCATCATCGGACAAACAACACAACACTTGAGAATCACAAAATGACAGTGGATGGCCTGCCTGATGGTGTGCTTGGCCCAATGGATGCGACCAAGCCTCAGCCATCATCCAGCTCCAGCAATAAGCACATGAGCGGGTCATGTTGGTGAAGTCAAGCCATGCACTAGCGTACGCGTGGGCAAAATGAGGACCGCTCCCTTGCAAATCGCCCAAAGCCTGGGCGTGAGGGATGCTTGTGAACCGCAAAACCATGGTCAACTGTCAAGGCCACGGGTTGGTGTGTTGCAGGTGGCTGGTGCTCGGGCGTTGGGTGGTTTTGCTGGTGGGTTTTGCAGCGGTTGGCTTTTTGCAGCTGGCTCGTTTGTTGTCGACGCATTCTTTATGAACCTGTTCTGCTGTTGGCTGGCCTTAGATGGACATATTTAATCAAAAACACCACCCACACAACCACAAACATAAACACCCACCCACCCACCCACCCACCCACCCGCCCGCCCGCCCGCCCTACCAGCCACCCACCCACCTGCTCCACCCAACCCACCCGCCCCACCCACCCACGCCCACCCACCCACACCCATCCACCCACCCACCCACACCCACCCACCCACACCCACCCACACCCACCCACCCACACCCACCCACACCCACCCACCCACACCCGCCCGCCCACACGCCCCGCACAAACCCGCCACACCGTGCCACACCCTGGCACACCCACTCGCCCACACAACTAGGCGCCAGACACGCTTGCCCTTTTTTCCAAGGAGCTGCTCATTTGAATGATTGGGCTGTATTGCGGGGTTTATATCCCTGGTCCTTGGTCCCTGGTCGTTGGTCCCCTCCAGCCCCCCGGTCTTTGCTTGGTCGGCGCCTTGATCTTTGGTATCATTCGTGCTAGGACACACACGGTAAAGACACGAGCGCTCTTGGAAACAAACATGGAAGCCAAGCATGTCCCGAATTGTTGGCCAGTGCTCTGTCCAAAACGATCTTGCGGATGCACCCCTCACACCCCACTCTCCCACACCCCCACACCACCACACCCCCACACCCACACTCCTTATATCCCTGCACATTTCATTCTTGATGTTGAACCAAGATTGCGCTTCTGACCGTGGCTGCATCGCTGAACATAGACCAATCATAATGGACAAAGGCAAACAGCAGCAGAGTATCGCAATAGCATTGCTGCTACTCTAAGCTGGCAACATGGCAGAATCTGATTGACGAAGGCCGAGACGAAGCCCTGCGAGCAAATGCCAGTGTGTGAGACTTAATTAGACTGAGCGCCAGGCTTGGACCCTCCTTGCAGTTGATGGACCACCTCGGACTCCAGATAAACAAAGCAGGACAGGGAAGCATCATGAAGACATGCTCTTTTCGCCAGCGCTTGGCACATTTTGACTTACATCGCGTGCTCGACCTGACAACAAAAAACCTATAATCACGTGGCCTTTATGCAGGGCAAGGCCGTGAGACCACGGCGTGACTCAATCCGACTCAACGTCGCTCAGACCGCCCTTGCCACTCTTGGGCTTTTGAGGGCTGGACATTTTCAACTGCTTGGCCCCTGTTTCAGGAGACCCTTGCTTCTTGGTTGTCTTCCGGCTCTTCCGTGGCGGGGTCTTGACTTCAGGCTTCTCGTCTAAAGTCCCAGCGTCAGCGCAGTCCTTCAGAAACAGCGGGCCAGCAATCTTGATGTCCGGGGACTTTTGCAACAATGACGAGACGCTCAGGGAAACCAAATCCCTCTTCAGGACTGCTTTGGCGAACGAGTGACCGAGGACCAGCTCTGTGTCATCACCGCAGATGCAGTCCGGGAGTGGCAGGACTTCTCCAGTGGGGACAAACCGCACGACCTTCTCACCGCTCTCATTATCCTCCAATCGCCAGTAGCTGTGGGCAGACCAGAAGGCCTACCGGGCAAAGCCCAAATTTTCAAAATGCGACAAGCCCTAACATCCAACATTAAGCACTATTGAACTACAACATGTGACACGCGGCATTGGTGGTGGATTGGTTCTGCTTCAGGCCTGTGTGGTTGCATCCCCGTCTGAGTCAAAGAGCCAGTCTTTGCAGCGCTCCCCATTGCGGACCCAGCGGTCGCGGAAGTAGTCCCTCAAAGGCCCAACCTTCTTGGTTGGCAAGGCCGAGGCAGGGTCCATGTTGGTGAGATATGCCAGGATTGACCCGAGGTCGGCTTTCGGCGTCTTTTTCGGCAAGCTCTCAATGAAAGCGCCCATGGATGGAAGGAAGCCGGACACGAGCTTGACCACGTTGTCCCTGGACAAAAGGTGGACCTTGTTTTGATAGGGTGGGAGCTTCTCCTCGGCCTCCGATTCGTTCTCCGACCCCGAATCCCAGGACCCTGACCGTACCTGACAGAGCATGGCGCTCGTTGCCTCAGGATGCTTCTCGCACCAGTCCATGAGTTCCTTCAAGTTAGCCTCCTGCGCGACCTGAGCTTGCCAGTGGGCATTATCCTTGCCCATGCGCTTCTGCTTCTGCAACAACTTCAAGTCCTTCATCGTCTCCGCTTTCTTGAGCTGGCCGGCTTTCTTCCCAGCCATGGCCACAAATGATTAAACGCTACAAAAGTCAGGCCTCTCTGGCAAATGCCTGAAGCAGCAAATGGCGAGATGCAAACATGCTCTTGCGCCGCGTGATGGCATGAAATGTGAGACAGCATGCGCATGCGTGCTCGCTGACACAAGCACGCCGCAGCCTTTGCGACGCTCAGAGCGTGGCCCGTTGACATTGACCGTGCTGAATCTCCAGACCTTGGGGCAGCCCTGCGTGCTCCCTGCGCTGCGTACACCCAGACACTGTGGCCACTGCAACCTTGACCTCTTCGGGGAAGGCGGCCGCACAACTAGCCCTATGACCTGTGACTCGCGCAAGATGCCTCCACGGACTGCGCGCATTGCAGGGTAAAAGCCTGCAAGCAGGCAAGTGAGATTAAGCAGGCAATCAGATCAAGCCAGTCAGCAAGCATGGCTGCAACAAAGAACGCAGTGTGCAAACTGCCCGGAATCTTTTTTTCGCGCGCCACAGGCTGCAAATCTTACCTCTGCCGGGCTGAAACAAGAACACGTGGCTGTGAGTTCGACCACTGCTATCGACAACTTATTTTGTTTCAAGCTGCGCTTGCCATCCTTAACGTTGGGCGCTGGAATGCTGCAAGCTGTTTTTGTTGCGGCTTAGGCTCCTTGTGATAATGAACAGGTTTTCCCGAACGCCAACCGAACAAGTGACCTGACACATTAAGCTGCAAGTTTTTCCCTGAAGCTATTTGAACGTTAAAGGTAAATACAAGTGGCCAATGGAAACAACCAAATAGACGACTAATTATACCAAAGCCAGCCTCACAGGCAGAGTCAAGCAGGCCAACTGAAAAATCAACTTGAATACCCTCCCCAAACTTATGATTAAAAGCAAAGGGATGGCAACATGTCGGAGATTCAAATTTTCAGCTTTCCGCAAAGCAGTTTTCAAAGGCAAAGTGAAGGCAGCCAATTAGCTGATTGGAACATCGACTTGAAAATTTGCCCCGGAAGCAGCCTAGATGAAAACGTGCGGGCAGCCAAGTGGAAACGGAGGCAGCAAACTGGTAAATCTAATCATGGAAGCAAAGTCAAGGCGGCCAACTGGGAAATTAAATCGAAAGCTTTCCTTAAAAGCAGTTTTCAAGGCACAGTCAAGCGGCCAATGGCAACATCCAATTGCAAGTGTTCCACGAAAACAGCCTTAGATGAAAAGAGCAGGCAGCCAAGTGGAAGCAATTCAAATTAATTTTTTGAAGCGAAGGTAGCCAATTGGAAAACCAAGCTGGAAGCCTTCCCCAAAGACCCTGCTGAACGGCAGCCAAATGGAAAACAGACCCGGGAACTTCTTCGAAACATTTATTTGTTTTATGGCTTTCTTATTGTAGACCACTCTCATGCCACGACATTCTTGAAGTCGAACGGGCACTGGCAGTTTGGGTGAAACATTTTGTGCCTCTCCCAGGCGCCTTGCACAACCGATTCCACTGGCGCTGACTCATTCCCGCTTGGCCCCCAAGACCTGCTCATACTCCATCCACTTTTGTGGAAAATCCGCCAACACTTGTTAAAAGTGTCACGGTAGCACCGATAAGAGCCATCTGGCAGCCACGCAGACACACGCTCTGCATCGAAGACCCTGAAACTTGCAAAGTTGACCGGCTTTCGCTTGACAGCTTTTGCTTTGGACCCTGCTTTGCGCACGCGGCTGATTGCCCCTGCAACGTCCAAAAATGCCTGATGAGAGGCCTTGGCTTGCTTCAAGGCATCTTGCACTTCTTGTTGGTCTCGAGCGTGAACGAGTTCTTCGAAAGCTGGCTGCTTCAGCAAATCGATGAGGTCTTGTTTGTCGTCCGCGTGTCTATGGTGCAAGTTGCTCTCCATGATGTCAGCAGCCTTTTCTGGTGAGACC